GGGGGGGGGGGGGTGCTCCTGCCACTGTGCACACCCGTGGGGGAGGCACAGGGGCCACGTGCTCTCCAGATCTGTGTGTGGGATGCAGACAGGCTGCCACTGTGGGCTGGGGCTCTGCACCCCACTGCCATTACCCCAGGAGACCATGCTGTGCCTCCTGCCATCAGGTGGGCAGGGGACACAATGCAGCCAGCACGTGACTCCCAGGGCAAAGGAAGTGGGGCACAGATCCCCAGCGCACAGTGGTAGCCCACCTCTGCCCTGCATACAAATCCAGGGGGCACATCCCTCTGGGCCTCTCCCAGGGGTGCAGGCAGTAGCAGGACCCCCCCCCCCCCCATGTCCCTGGACAAACCGCGGATCCGTCCCATGGCCAGCCACAGCCCCAAGGCCCCATTCGCCCCAGCCCCTGTCCCATTCTCTCCCTCACTGTGGGGGCCTCAATCAGCTCCCCTGCCATTTCCTCCCCTATGCATCTTCTCCTTCACAGACTTGCCTGCTGGGTGCTGCTCCACATGCTGCCAGGCTGTGTTCCTGGTCACCTGCAGGCTGCGGCTGTGTGTCTCTGTCTGTGTGCACCCCCACCCCACTTCTGCAGCCACCTGGAGCTCGCACCCAGGCTGCCCTGCAGTCCTCTGCGCTGCCACCGCTGCCCCATGGGGCAGCCTGGAGGTGCCAAAGATGGCACCGCAGGAATGGGCTCCAAAATCACATGCATGATTACTGCATTAAAAAATGTAATGCAAACAATTAATGCGTTAATCATGTGTGTTGACTGCAATTAATTGACAGCCCTAGTATGTGATGCTTGCTATGCAGACTTAAATAGCAATCAGATCACAGAGCATGCTGCAGAAGTGAACCCTCACGGAAGTTCTGTCGGAGCTGAGAACTTCTTGCCCTCGAAAGCATAAAATTCTAACCACCCTAAGGACCATCACAGTGATTAGGATAAGTTTTATCCTTAAAGGCTCTTATCTCCATGCGTAGAAGCTTCACCCAGAGAGAGAACATCCTTCTCCCAACCAGGTTCCTGCCTTCTGTAGACATGAGGTGGGACATACTTCTGTTTGCACAGTTGTGTAAATATCATCATGACAGACGCAATAGTTTTATGTTCTCACCTGAGACTGACATAAATAATTCCCATATAACTGTTACATCTGCATGTTCCCACAGAGGTAAATGGAGCAAATACACTGCAGGTTTAACCCAGTTTCAATCAGAATTAAAGTTACTATGATATAGGTCCCTCGTAGAAGCAAGCAGGTTTAGTGATGCATGTTCCAGAGCGGCAATTCTTCCTACCATTTTAAAATGGTTGATGGTTACATTTGTCCAAAGCTTGAGTTTACAGTTTTCAGTCTGTGTCAGCTTTGCCTTCCATCCCCTGGGTTAAGGAGGGAGAAGCGGCTCTGTAAAGGACGAAATCCAGATATTATGATTTCATAACGCTTACTTGGTTGGCAAGCTGAGACAAGACTTTTCTAGCTATCAGCACTACAAGCTGAGTCTGGTATCTAAAAATCGAGCTGTTCCTTCTCTTCTGTGTGTCAACAATACTGAACTAAATGGAGGAACTGGTAGGGCTAAACTGTCATCATAACCAGAAGTAAATGTTACTTGTGGCTCTTAGTTACTTCTGAAATCTCTTTACCTTTGGAAAACCAGATTTCACCAACCAGCATGCCCACATACATTAAACATTCGTCCCTTTGCTGTCTTCCCTGTAGCCAAACTCCCAACCATCTACAGCAGGGCTGGGCAAAATGCAGCCTGGGGGCAGGATGCAGCCCGCCAGGCCATTCTATCCGGCCCGCGGAGCCTCTAACAATTTTAGAAAATTAATATTTATCTGCCCTGAGCTGCCTGTCATGCATCCCTTGATAGCTTGCCAAAACTCCGTAAATGGCCCTCTCCCCAAAATAATTGCCCGCCCCTGATCTACAGCATCCAAACCTCTGCTGATTACTCTTTGAACAATGGTGGTGAACAGAGATTCTGGAATTAAGTCAGATGAGTTTTATTGGTAAGGCTTTAGTCACAATTAAATTAATCTCCCTCTTCAAAGAAGCTGACGGCACTAGACATCTGTAATGACATACTGGACAGAAAGTGATGCCTCTGAGCTTAGAGCGAGGTGTCAGGGGTAGAGAACAGGTTCTGTGAGGACTAAGATGTACCTCACCTTTTGTAGGGGAAAAAAATCCCAGACCAATCAACCCACAAGCTGGCTTCATTTCACTTATCATGACAGAAGCCCTGCAGGACTGCAGTAGCCTCTGTTGGCCCTGTGAAAAGCAGGGTGAGGAGAATCTATGGTGGGCTGCTAGATTATGATGTTATTTTCACACCTAGGTGTGAAAAATAGGAAAAACAACATGGGTTTACAGGTTTAACTCAGTCAGAATCCCTATTAAACGTAAGGACGGAGAGGCAATAACAAAGTCCTTTATTTGTGGGCTATAGGAGTGGTACAATATGCTGTTTTGGGTTTCATTAAGAGTGAGTAAGGTCCTTACATGCTTTCCAGGAGAAATAATCAGCTTGGATTACACTGGGAAACCTTTATATTCTCTCTCTCTCTTAAGTAACTTTAATACCAGAAATTTTGCCCGCATAAGTAACAGGTATAAAAAAGATTTACAAACCTCATTAATCTCTGGAGTAACTGTACTACATCTAGGGATGATTTTCATCCCCCACATTTAAGTTATTGGTAAATTAAGGGTATTTTTTAAAATGCAGTAGTTGCTATGGTAAGAGTGCATACAATGGCCACCTAAGCCTCAAGACTGTGGTTTATATTGGTAAGAGCGATATTGCTTGCTAAATATGTGGGCTGTCAACACATGTGTACCTCTACTAATAGTTATGTATAGATGCAAGAGACTATATTCAAGAGGCCCTTCCAGTCCTATGTTCCTGCTCTGGGCTATAACCAAAGGCAAGAGGTTGCTCTCAGATTTCAAGGAAAGGAGGCCACCACAAGACCCATGCAACATCTGAGGGAAGTGACCCTCTTGGCAGCACGGAAGCGGAAAGGGATCTCAGAGTCATAGTGGACTCCAAGATGAACATGAGTTGTCAGTGTGACAAAATCATCAGCAAAGCTAACCGCACTTTATCGTGCATCAGTAGATGCATGACAAATAGATCCAAGGAGGTGATACTTCCCTCTTCTCTATGTGGCATTGGTCAGACCGCAGTTGGAGTACTGTGTCCAGTTTTGGGCGCCACACTTCAAGAGGGATTTGGATAACTTGGAGAGGGTCCAGAGGAGGGCCACTTGTATGGGTAAGGGCTTGCAGGCCAAGCCCTATGAGGACTAAGGGGCCTGGACCTCTTCAGCCTCTGCAAGAGAAGGCTGAGGGGATCTTGTGGCTGCCTACAAATTCATTAGGGGGATGCAGCAAGGGATTGGAGAGGCTCTGTTCAGCAAGACGCCTCTTGGGGTAACAAGGAACAATGGTCACAGACTGACAGAGAGCAGATTTAGGTTAGATATCAGGAATATTTTCTTCACAGTGAGGGTGACCAAAATTTGGAATGGGCTTCCAAGGGAGGTGGTGCTCTCCCCTACCTTGGGGGTCTTCAAGAGAAGACTGGATAGACATCTGGCTGGTGTCATCTGACCCCAGCACTCTTTCCTGCCCAGGCACAGGGTCAGACTTGATGATCTGTTGAGGTCCCTTCCAACCCAAGCATCTATGAATCCAAAATCTCATGGAAGTGGCCCATATTATAGATGCCAGACAGGAGACTAGCAACACCTTCCTTTGGAAAATCAGATTAGATTAAGTTGTACATTAGGGTGACTGTGGCTCACAGCTCTATTGTGCCCTCCTGGTTTATTTCTAATATAAATAGAGAGGTTGCTTAACTCTGGCCATGAAGATACATAAACACTCTGAGTCAGAAAGACAGCAACCTGGGAACAGCAACAAAAAGGAATAGACTTCATCCTCAAAGCTTTTGATTTGATTTGCAAAGTGCAAACGCTGCAGAAATCCTGATGGGAACAGTTAGCAAAAACTCTATAGCCCCCACAGTGCTGCATTTTAAGAATTTTAATCCAGAGACATTTGGCATTGAGCAGATTGGCAGGACTAGCCTTGTTTGCCTTTCCTTTGTGCTTTCACTGAAGGAGTCTTTAGAAAGAAAAGAAGAGGGAAGAATGCTAAAAGAGCAGGAATGTTAATCCTTCCTTCTACAGCTCTATTTTGTGTCAGACCTTGCTGTCTGCCTGGATTTGTGGAACCTAAATGCTGAAAGACTCAGGTGGAACAAGTTTGATTTCCCCTTTTACAAACCCTGCTGGTTACACTAAGGTCCACCTACAAATCATACACTTCAGAGGTAGATCCAGGTAGATACACCAGGAATAAAGATATAGGCCATAGATGGAGGGTAGGTAAAATACCAAGGAGAAATAAACAGTTGAAACCCCAGCCTTTTAAAACAAATCAGTTCTTACAGAAAAAAATCTAAGGATCAGAAAAGGGGTTTTTAATACCAACAGCTTTTCTTTTTTTTTTGTTAAGGAAAGGTTTTCGTGTCCCAAGTTAAATCAGTCAAATCAATTCCAAATCCGTGACAAAAAATTGTGGACTCGATATAGACGTTGGATTTATGGCACATTACAACATGCCTGACATCTGATTCACCAGGTACCTGCCAGACCTAACCTCTTACATTGTTCTTTTCCCCCACTTTTCTCCCATCCCCTACTCTTCTGCCCTTTTTCTTCCTAATTTCCCACTATTTCCTTTTTCACAGACAGCCTCTTTCCTACCTTGAATTACTACCACTATAGCCCTCTGGCCTTTCCCCCACCCTGCTTTTTTCCCCCCTCCCTTTCCTGCTTTACCTTTTCTCTTTCTCATTTCTACCTATTTATATTCTCACTGACATCCTGCCACACTTTTAGCTTCTCTCATTCCTTGGAGTCTCAGACCAGCAGAGACTCCCTATGCCTGTAAAAGTGTGATTGCGCCGGAAAGCTTGCTAAGAACTTTTTTCCAACTACTCAGTTGGTCTAATAAAAGATATCACATCTACACAAAGTACCTTGCCTACCTAAATCTGTGTGAGTCATTCAAGAACCACATGTTGCTCTGCTACCGACAAGCATCCTCCACCCCTGCCTGGGGCTTCAGATACTTCTAAATCTTTTGGCAGGCATCCTATGTGCAGGCCCAAGCCGGGAGACTTGGAGTTTGGATGCCCACGAGTTTCGCTTGCTCTCAGCCATATAGCTGCAGAAATAAGCTAGGGAGGAGTCTCCCATTTCCATAAAGTCAGCGTATAGTTGAGGTCTTCCCACTGGAAATGAAAGTGGGAGGCTAACTGTGCATTACTTCAGTCAAGGTACTACCCCCTGCCACGTTCATGGTTTTCCCAGGACAGTAGGAAAACCACCCTGGTGGTAATGGTATTTCCCCTGGCAGGTAAGTATATACCAACAGCCTATGTGCATTTCTTTTCCCTGGGTATCTCTGGGGCTGAGTCTGCTTCCCCTTCATCTTTGTGCCTCCCCCACTCGCCTAATCTCTTTGTTTTAGATTTCCCACTAAGTGTATCTAGTCAAGGTTGGTGAAGTCAGTATGGTCAGTGATTAACTTCAAAAGGGACTGTCTGCATTGTGTTGTTAAGCACTGGTGTATGGTGCTGTTTATTTCCTCCCTTCCTGCATTTTGTGCTAGTTGGAATTAATGCCTGTGTAATCAACATAACAACCAGATTAGGATGGTATGCAGAAAACACCAGCCCCTTCCACATTCCTCTGAGGAAGAAATCGTTATACCCAACCAGAAGCTGTAATCTCTAAATAAGTGTCAGTGTCTCAAGATAGATTTTCAAGCAAACAAAAATGTTTTCAGAAATAGCATTTACTCCATATCACACAGAGGTTGTGATGGCAAAGGCACCTTTAAAAGACAACTTGCGAAGAAAGAGCATAGTTTTGGATAATTTGTTGTTTGAACAATTGCCCTTGTCAGACTTCAAGTGCCTTCTCTCACCTGGGACCAAATCTAAATAGAGACGACATGGATAATAGTTCAGCCTAGTTCTGCAATAACAAGCTCATTTTCTTCTATTACTTCTTTAGTTCACGTGACACCTACCTATCCATCTGCTGTCAAGGAGAACCTGTTGGCCAGACAGTGATCCTCTTGCTCATGTTCATTTGGTAGAAGTGAGAAAAGAACCAGACCCAAGGATTCTGCACATGCCACAGGAGACTGATGGGGGGGCACATGCCCCCCCTTGAGATTGGCCCCCAACTCAGGATGGGGCAATTTTTTTGCCATGCGGGCCAGCAGCATGTTGGTGGGGTGGGGAGGGGGGCACTTGGCGGCAGCACAGAAGTATAGGAGTCGATATGGGGCTGGTGGCCCGCCCCCAGGCCCAC